AAAGGTAAACCTGGTTAGAAGTCTGTCACAGAAAAGAAAATAAAAGTGTGATCAGACTAACACATAGAACCGTTTATTATGTGCAGGAAAGTTGGAATAGGGTCAAGACTATAAAACTTGTTAGACATCTTAGAAATGGTACATAACAGGTGCTGCCTAGTAATGGAGTGAAATTTATCTAAGGATGGTCTTGCAAAGTTGATTCTCTGGAGGTGACAAGTTCCCCCTGATATGCCTTCCTTCTTCTTTTATCCCAAGTCTGATATCGTTTACTTTCTCAGCAAAGAAAACTTTAAAACTTTACCATGTGTCATTACCATGCTGCCTTTCTTGGGCAGTTTCACTGGAGTGAAATTATTCAGCAAAGTTCAATCACAGGAATAATTAATTATTTGATTTGTTGCTCTGATAGTTGCACCGAATATTCTTTTAGAGATTTATTTAAATCATTGTGGAAGTATAATTCCTTTAAATGCATTTACCAGTGTCAGCAGCTAAAATCCTAATCACAAAGAATATAATAAGAAGGATACTGCTTGCAGAGCTGTAAAGCAAAATGCAGTTTTTACATTAGAAATTTTGCTGGATGCTTTATCTTAACACTATTTCGATAGCATGTCATCTGTATAAATCATAGAAAACATTGTATTTGATAAATAATTAATGTTGGTGGGGAAATATTTATTATATATTTTTTCACATAGTGTGATGTTATTTTGTAGACATGTGTGATGATATTTTGTAGACATGTGTGATGATGTGATGTCATAAATTTTACTTTACTTTAGACGATCAAATGATATACTTACAATCTGATTCTGGTTAGTGACTATTTTTTCAGTCAAATAAAGTACAGTGGTCACGAGTTTGTACTATTTGCAGAATTTGTACTATTTGCAGATGACACAAACATCTTTGTAGCTGCTGAAACTAAGGAACAAGCATACAAAATAGCGAATGAAATTCTCGACTCTGTGTGCCAATATATGCGCCATAACCTACTGCACATTAATGTTAAAAAATCTTGTTACATGTACTTCTCGCCTACTAAACGTAAGACCATTGATAATACTGAAAATGACTTGAATCTAGAAATTGATGGGATCCCGATCAAACAGGTTACTGAAACGAAATTTCTAGGTGTAATTATTGATGACAAACTGAGTTGGACACCTCATATCGAGAAACTAACTAAGAAATTAAACAGCATATGTGGCCGTATTTATCGAATAAAAAACTCCCTCCCCAGCCAGCTGTACAAACAGATATACCACACTCTTTTTGAATCTCATCTAGGATACGGTATAACTGTATGGGGTGGTGTATCAATTAATAAGCTTTCACCACTATTCCTTGCACAGAAGAAATGTGTCCGAATCTTATTTGGGGACTCGGAAGCATTTAGCGACAAGTTTAAAACTTGTTCTCGTAGCAGGCCAATCCAGTGCAGTATAAACAAGAAAGGTCAAATATCCAATGAATCAACTATACCTCACATTAAACCGTGTTCTATATGTATCAGCTTGAGGAAGACTGGTGATAAACAAGCAAGGCCACATCGCTGCCAAATACTTGGGGCAGAATTCCACTCTAGAGAATCAACAAAACCTATTTTCCAATCTAAGGAACTAATGACAGTACATAACATATATAGATACAGATGCATTACTGAAACAATGAAGATAGTGAAGAGTCATCAGCCCATATCCATGTATTCTCTCTTTAAGAAGTCTGAGCTCAGAGATGACAGATTTGTGACACCACACTCATCTCACAATTTCGCATATAAAGGGGCAAATTTATGGAATAGGTTTCTTGAGCAGTCAAATGCACGTGGTAAAATAGGTTCACTAGGTTCAATTAAATCCCGATTGAAGCTTTCTATCATGAAGGCTCAACACCAACCTGACAATATTAACTGGCAGGACTTAAACTTCAACACTTTCCTATGAAAAGACCCCCATTTATATTTATATCTTTTAGATTTTACACCTGTCACTCACATCATATATGCACCACAAAAGAAAAAAGATTCATTCAATCATTACATTATACACCCACTCCACCACACATGCACACAAAACATTAAAGCAGGTTACACGCGGGTGTAACGTTCACTTTATCCGAAGGGAAAAATAATACTTTACGTAACGCGCGATTTACGTCTTGGTAGCTAAATTATTCAAGTGCTATTTGTCAGAGCGACACAAATGCGCGAGCGCTTGCGCGGCTCACCTATCCAACACTCTTTTTTACATCGTATCAGGCAATGGTTCAGTTTAATTATGGTAAGGGCACAGCCTGTCAAAAACCCTTTTCGCATGATCCGTCGACACCGCCTGAAGGTGAATGCATAATAACGGATCATGAACGTACGGAATCAAACGTTAATAAGCTTGCAGCTTCCGATGAAAATATATTCAACTTTGTGTCATGCTTGAATTGGTTTTGGACCTCTTCAATGCTTTTAATTTATTTATTATTGTTATTTGGTATTATGAGCTGATATGTATATATACATACGGTATCTAAAATTAAGCGTATAGCGAGCATATTTAACAATTTTTAAGCAATAATGAATTGAGAGCAGCTGTAACTTAAATATCGCATAAAAATCATATAATTATAACACAAAACTAAAATTTTATTGGAATCTAGGTTAAACTAAGATAAAATTAATATCAGCCCCTTCGCCACTCTCAGCAGTCAACCAGGGCTCATAAAAGCTTAACAGCGCCTGGGTCCGTTCACCAACTGTGCTAATGTGAGTGGCGGTGTGGTAAAACCCATTTTAACAGCGTGAATATTTATCAAATATAAGCGCGCTAGCTGCTAGCATACTTGTATCATTTAATTTTTAATCAAATTTATTCGGATATATATTTATTGATTATGTATTGAATTGGTGATAAATAATAAAATTGTCTTTTCTCAAAAAAAATTGTCTTTTCTCAGTACTGGTGCAGTCTGCTGTAATGAAAACTGCCTATAGCTATCCCTGCGTTGGTTCCCTGAAGGACCGGCTGTAGTTGGTCGTGGACCGGCTTGAAGTGCTGTGCACCATTAAGAGGTGTTGGACCCAGTGGAGGTGGTGCTGAACCCAATGGGGGTGTACTGAACCCAATAGAGGTGGTGCTGAACCCAATGGGGGTGTGCTGAACCCAATGAAGGTGGTGCTGAACCCAATGAAGGTGGTGCTGAACCCAATGGAAGTGGTGCTGGACCCAATGGAGGTGGTGCTGAACCCAATAGGGGTGGTGCTGAACCCAATGGGGGTTGTGCTGAACCAAGTGCAAGCGCGAGCGATGTTGGATCAACTGGGGGTGGTGCTGAACCCAATGGGGGTGTACTGAACCCAATAGAGGTGGTGCTGAACCCAATGGGGGTGTGCTGAACCCAATGAAGGTGGTGCTGAACCCAATGGAAGTGGTGCTGGACCCAATGGAGGTGGTGCTGAACCCAATAGGGGTGGTGCTGTACCCAATGGAGGTGGTGCTGAACCCAATGGTGGCAGTGCTGTACCCAGATCAAATTTTTTTTTGAAAATTCAATTAATTATTATATATATAAATTATCAAGCGTTACATTTCAGCCATGCAAAATTACAATGACATATTTTGATAAACTAATTGATAAATGGTACTGCAATATAAGTTGCTGAATGTTTGGCCGGATGACAACTAACTAAAAGAGAAAAATAAACTTGATCACATAATAATTAATTCGGCTGAACCAACACATAGCAAGAGCCACATTAACGTTCGGGCCGTCTATTTGATATACTTACAATCTGATTTTGGTCAGTGTCTATTTTCAGTCAAATAAAGTACAGTGGTCACGAGTACTAGTGTTGTCTAGTGTCTACAGTAGTGAAAACTGCCTATAGCCTAGCTATCCCTGCGTTCGTTCCCTGAAGGACCGGCTTTAGTTAGTTGTGGACCGGCTTGAAGTGCTGTGCGCCATTTAGAGGTGTTGGACCCAGTGGAGGTGGTGCTGAACCCAATGAGGGTGGTGCTGAACCCAATGAAGGTGGTGCTGAAACCAATGGGGCCGGGGCGGTGCTGAACCCAATGGAGGTGGTGCTGAAAGAAATGGGGTGGTGCTGAACCCAATGGGGGTGGTGCAGCTGATGCTGAACCCAATGGAGGTGGTGCTGAACCCAATGAAGGTGGTGCTAAACCCAATGGGGGTGGTGCTGAACCCAATGGATGTGGTGCTGAACCCAATAGGGGTGGTGCTGGACCCAATGGAGGTGGTGCTGAACCCAATAGGGGTGGTGCTGTACCCAATGGGGGTGGTGCTGAACCAAGTGCAAGCGCGAGCGATGTTGGATCAACTGGGGGTGGTGCTGTAGAGGAGCTAGAGCTTTGAGTCCTATCCACAGTTGTTTAACAAGTTTTACATTTAAAAGCAGCATTAATTTGTTGATCATGTTGAAAGTTAGTTATATCCACTAGCAGCTGGTCTGTTGAACAAAATTGTTTGTTTGACTTGACTTGACAACAAAAAAAGTGGAGGAAGTTTTATTTCTTTGACTATTTTGTCGCATCATTTTGTTTTTAACAGACCAGCTGCTAGTGGAAACATCTAACATTCGACATGTAATATTTTCATCTTAATGTTATGTAGAATATTATGTTATGTAGAATTTGTTCCTTACAGTTTCAGTCCAAAATGAGTCAAGCAAAAACGGAAATAATACCCAATGGGCAAGCAACCAAATCGAAATGGTCGGTGAGATTATGTTGAGCAAGTCCGGTCAGATTATTCTAAATAAGGTTAAATAGCAGCACGTATTCTGTAGTGACATCAAAAACCTGATACGAAAACCAGTGCAACACATTCTGACTGTGATCAGGTGACCCAGTCGTTATTGCACGGAAGGGGCAATCACGTGACCCCAGTTATTCCAAATAAGGAATGATCGGTGATACAACCTCTACCTAATTACGTGCGACCTACAGTACAATAGGTCTTTTGAAAGCTTTCCTGTTGTACAATGTACTTAAATTTCGACGAAATTACACTACCACACCGACCACCTCATTATATATCAGTATTGTACTAGAATCAGTTTTGTTTGGTCAGATGTTGCTGGAATTTATTAGTCTTACAGTTGTTCTCACTGTATTTTTCAAGCTTTGTTACCTAAAATATGATCACTGGTAAGTTGCAAGTGCAATGTCAGCTAATCTTTAAAAATGTGGATCATTGATATTTCCTAATAACAATTAATGTTTGTCTTCTGTAGAAGAAAAAAACGGCTTCTGTAGCTCAATTTAGTGACTGTAAAACAATTAATTTGTGGTATCAAAACCAGGATACATATAAGATTTTAAAATATTTCATTACTCCCAGGAGATTCTCTCACTTGCCCGGCCCACCGACACAGAATTTCATCTTTGGAAATGCTCTACAATTCAGAAAACGACTGATGACTGATGGCGCTTGGGCTCCCTATTGGCTGGACATGGTCCGTGAACACGGCAAGATTTTCCGATTGTGGATGATGATGAAGCCTTTGGTGTTTGTTGCAGATCCTATTGTGCTCAAAGAAATGGTCACTGACTTCAAGAAATTCCCTAAAATCCGTGAAGCTCGAGGATTCATAGCTCGGAGATCTATAGGATTTAATGCACAGAGAATGTACACGCAAAGGTTTTGCGGATATGACAGTATTTTTACTGTTGACATGGGACCAATATGGAAACGGAAAAAGAAAATAATGGATCCAGCATTTGGTATACAGCCTTTAACAAAACATTTGTGCAAGTTCTACGACATAGCAGTTTCCCTGTGTGATGCTATTGAAACAGCTCAACAAGAATGCCTAGGAGAGCCTGTTGATATAACAGACGTCGTGGCCCCTTTCACTGTTGATGCCATAAGTAAGGCAGGTTTCAGTGCCGACAGCAACCAGATGAGCAAACTACGCAGACAAGGCGAGGATGCCAAAAGTAGTGAAGCAAACAAGAAGATCTTAGCCAAAGCAGGAAGAGTTCTTCTTATGGTGCTCGATCCCGATACTAGGAAGATCTTGGTTAATTATGCTGAAAGTATTAAAAAGATAAGAAAGATTGGAGCTCAGATGATAATTGACAGAACTTCTAATGGTGAATTTGGTCGTGTTGGGGACATTCTTGATGGCATTATAAGTGCTAATATGGATGAGGATAGTGGTAAGTTCGAGCTGGAAGAGAGTTTGGATGATTTCATGGCAATGTACGTAGCCGGCAACTCCACCACCAGTACAACACTGCTATGGTGTATAGGAGAACTAGCCAGAAATCCAGATGTCATGGACAAGCTGGTGAATGAGATAGACGGAGTATGGGCAGGAGCTCATATAGACAGCCACACTGATCCCAGTTTCATTGGAGACACTCTCAAACAGATGCCGTATCTTGACGCGTTTCTAAAGGAGGTGTTACGGGTTCACCCTGCAGTGACCCACATCAAAAGGAGGGCTTCCAGAGATGTAGAAATTTTTGGCTACAAAATTCCCTCACAAACGTGTGTGATGAGTAGTCAGTGGGTCATGCAGCACTTGGAACAATATTGGCCTGATCCTGAGAAGTTTCAACCAGAACGGTTCCTAACATCAACTCCTACACCTTACACCTACCTTCCCTTTTTTTTGGGGCCACGGCAATGTATCGGGAAGAACTTTGCTATTCTGCAACTCAAGTGTTACCTCTGTGAAATTTTGGGTAGATTTGAGATAGAAATTGATCCGAAATCACCATTGAAGCAGAGATCAGGCCAAAAATTGGTCTGTTTCCCTATTGACAACTCCTTCAATTTCAAGCTTAGATTTTAAGAGCTGTTTGTTCATTTCACATTACTGAGCTGCACTTTTACCTTCACATTCTAGAAACATTTGATAACCATGACGATATATTAAAGATATAGTATAGTAGATTTGATACAAAGTACCAAATCTTTTCGATTTATAAACAAGATTATAAACAAGTCGTTAGATACAATCTACAATTATTGTCAATCATGCTACACACTGTTGCATTTTTTTGGTGTTTTGATTCTCATATTATATTATATGATTTTTCTGATAATATATATATGGTTCAGCTTGTCATTAACTACTGTGACAACTGTATTATGTTTAAATACTATTTTCTGTTAAATTTAACTCGATTAATGAATTATTCGTGACTTTTAATTCGTTATAATTGCTGAAAAGGAAGAAATTTGACGTCTGTTGATAAGAAACCAGATTTAGTTGCAATGTAACGGTCATAGTGGTCTAAAAGTGAAGAATCTAAAATTAACACAGTTTCACTCAGGTAAGGTCTATCACAGACTCATGAACACAGCAATATATATAATAGTATATTAATACTCAATAACTGTAATAGATTTGTAGTGTTGTAATAAGGGGGGGGGGGGGGGGGATCAACCTCATAAATACCTATTATTCCCTCTGCTTTCAAAATAGGTATCTAGGTACTTGTGTATATTTATGGTTATTTAAAGGTTTTGTTGTTTTTTCAGTATTTTTCCCACTTTTAACATAATATATATACCTTACTCGGGAATATTATAGCGGGTTAATTTATGACTGGGAAAATTAATGACCGGGAAAAATATGGCGGACTTTCCAAAAACCCGCCAAATTATCCCGGTCATGTATTTACCGGTGGCCGACCTTTCAAGTTTTTTTTTCAGAGGTCAACAAATTTTCAACCGAAATTTCTGTTTTTGTTACTTGTTAAAGAAGTTATTTCAATTTACAGTTATTGATATTACTCAGAAATAGAAAAAAAAGACACGTCTATTTTATAAAGGAAAATAAATCTAAGCAAGTCAAATCTTCATTAAAGCGTATTCTCATTCTCATTATCGCTAATGTCCCCGCCATTATCATTATTGATATCCCCCTGAGCTGCTGACCATCAAATTCGAAGTTGTATTGTTGTCTTAACAAGACTTTCATTTTGTCCGCTAATGGGGCTACTGCTCTGAAGGTCAGCCGGAGCTTAATTTCCTGCCCACCGCTTGGTATTGGGGAACGTCTTGGCTTTGCATCTTCAACTGCTCCAGTAATCAATCCACCGTGGACCATGAAATAGTGGCACAGTTTACTCACTTCTAGCGGGATGTGGCCACAAGTTACTTTAACGGGAAAAACTCCCTCTTTCTTTAGTCTACACTCTACACACTGCACACGAGAAGCGATCAATCTTTAGAGACATTATTATTATAATATATATTATATATTATTATTATTTTCGTTTTCTTCTATAACATATATATAAATTGTTTTCTTCTCTACGATTCACTGATTCATGGGCAAGAGAAGTGAGAATCACGGTCCACCCTGAAATCTGATTTCTATAACCAAATTGTGATTTTTATAACGAAATTATGGTAGCAACCGCCAATAAAGTTACAGCCCTCCATCCACTGCTTCAAAAGTCTTCTCTAGCACATATGAGACTTCAGGTAAAATATGATGATCACCACCCCCTTGGAACCCCATAATCTGAGTCGGCGGGTTTTTTTATGACTGGTAAAATTTTTGACCGGGAAAAATATGGCGGAATCTTCCAAAACCCACCACTTTATCCCGGTTATAATATTCCCGAGTAAGGTATGCAATTCTATTCATAATGTTGTTGTTTTAAAGTGTTTTTACTGCATGAGGGGGTTGATATCAAGTTTTAAAACCAATTTTTTGGGGTTGGGAAAAAATTTGATTTTTTGCCTTTGTGTACCCAAAAGGTTGCTTATATAGAAGTTTCTGAACATTTTGAACAACAATTGAAAATATATCCAAAAAAATTTTGTAATCGAAATTTTAGAAGTAAAATCTTATGATATTTTCACCTAAAATTTCAAAAAATTAATGTTGCTCACAATCTTCTAAAAAAGTAAAAACGTCCAAAAAAGTAACTTTTAGCTGCCCTAGACAATCTTTGGTAAAATACCTATAAATACCTATTATTCCTTCCGATTTCAAAATAGGTAAATTTATAGGTATTTATGTATATTTATGAAATTGACACCCCCCCCCCCCCCAATTAGTTCAAAACTTTAAGAATTTTTACTGAGTAGGTAATACAGTAATGTATGTAATAGGTATTGTATAAATGGGCAATATTACTTTATTGACTTTTATAAATCACCATAATAAAAAAGTAATCTGTATAGGTTTAGAGATCATGGCGCGGTTCCAATTTCGACCAATTCTTGTGTCAGATTCTCGTGATCAAGAAGACTATGATAGTGAAAGTGTATCCCTCAACGTATACCGCTGTATTTGTAACCAAGTAAGTAGACAATACATTGATTTTAAGAGAGTTTCATCTTTAAGCTTTGGCAAGACTTGAATTTGCAAATTATAAAGGTAAAGTTGATTGAAAATATAAAATAACGAGAACCTCTAACTTACCGGCTTACCTCACTGAAAAAGATCTAACCAGGGCTATTCTATACAGGTAGCTCTCATTGCTGATACTGTTATCGATCAGCTACCTTTAAGAAAACTGGATGGTGCCAGAGTAATTGATACTTCAAAGAAAACAGCTAAAGTAAGATGGAATTTTGTCTCACTGCATTACATTTAAAACTGAAAAGTGTTCTCGCTTTTTCCTGAGTTTAAAAATCAACTCAGACCTGTTACTACCAGGTAATTTAGTATATTCTGTACTTAATAAGTATTTAAAATTTCAGTTCCATACAGAAGAAGATAAAACTATCTATATTCGGAGACCTGATGGGTATGAAATGCGCGTCTTACAAAAATGTAAACATTGCACACTTCCTATATTTTACAGACCCTCTCCTAACAGCCATCTTTATTTCGTTATCAAAGGTTTGACAATTTATTTGTTGCAAGTAAGTCCTTTTAATTTATGGGTAATAACCAAGGTACGTAACCAATTGTAAATTAATATTAATTTACCAATTATTGGTTGAAGTAAATTTTTAGTTGAACATAACTCACAAATCAATTTCTCCAGAATAAACCTGTATAATGACTTCTCTAGTCTAGATTACTCTATCATCAAAACGTTTCAGATAGTTTAATTGTCGATTCCAGTATGTCAGTGGCTGGAAAGGAAAAGAAAAACGTTAAATTGACCAAACTCACCCGTGAAGCTGGAAAATTCGGTAGTGTAACAGTATCAACTATAGATGAAGAGGAAAACGAAATCGAAAAGGTATTAAAAAGCTATATTTGCTGTTCAGCGAAATGTTCACTTTTTAATCCCATTTGCACGACAGATCTATTTTTGGATTTTGATTTTCATATTTTTGTTAACACTATTGATTTGATTGATTACTAAACCATACTTAACAGAACTTTTGAAAGGTATTTAAAGCAAAATTAACCTCGACCTCATTTTAGCACGAAGCAGAAGCATCTTACACGATGAACGCCAAGATAATAGCTCAACAGCTAGGAAGGGATAGCAAGAAGAATCAGCTGACTGATGATCAACAACCTGAAAAATCTAAAAGACACAAAGGAACACTTTTAGACAAGACTTTTTGATATATTTTTTGTTATATTTTTAATTTTGACGTTAATTATTCATGATATTATTTATGTGTACTTTTAATACTTTTGGTTATATATAGCGTACTGTATCAATAGTAAGAGATATTTACCCTCTGTAGCACACATTTTGCTATTGCACACATTTTCCGACACTTGTAAAAATTTCACGGATTTTCGACACTTGTAAAAATTTCACGGATTTTCGACACTTGTAAAAATTTCACGGATTTTCGATACTTGTAAAAATTTCGAGCATTTTCGACACTTGTAAAAATTTCGAGGATTTTCCGACACTTGTAAAAATTTCGAGGATTTTCGACACTTGTAAAAATTTCACGGGTTTTCGATACTTGTAAAAATTTCGAGCATTTTCAACACTTGTAAAAATTTCACGGATTTTCGACACTTGTAAAAATTTCGAGCAATTTCATCACTTGTAAAAATTTGTTATTAAAAGGATCAACATCATTATATATCTCATTTCTCTTTTTGTTAGTTTTACAATGTCAGATATTCTTATTGAAGATGAATATCACAGAGGTTTTGTTATTGGGATCATGAGATTACTTGCTGTACATAGTTATTCGGTTACCAGAGCTTTCAGATTAGAGTTACTCTATCTTAAAGAGAATAGAATTTTAAGAGCAAGGATTTTTGAAAACACTCTTGTTTTTAATCGAGTACCCAATTTAAAAGTAGGTAAAAATTATGTTGTAGTAGGGTGGTTAACAGCAAGCAACCATATTATAGAGGTGAATGATATGAGCTAATATGCAAGAGATCCGTGATTTATCAATTGAAGATCTGCGCACAAAGCTGAAAGAGCAAAAACTCTGTTATGGTTATGAGGTTCTAACAATTTGTGAACGTCGTCGCAAAAAGTTTGAAAAGCGATTGTTCTTACACATGCAAGGAAAAGAAGCACCCACCCTTCATAAATGTGCTGATAATAGGAGTGAATACTTTTTGCTTGATATAGAACTTCCACAGACATGGTATCCAGGAACATCAATACTGAAAAAGACATCAACTAAAAAAACTAAGAAGTCTGTCCGATTTAAGCAAACGGAAATATTTGGAAATGAACCCATCTACCCATACTGTGTTACAAAGTACAATCATAACACTAAAAGCCAACACCTACATGCACCACAATGTTCTAATGCTGTTGCAGAAACGATCGAGGTGTTGGGCCAATACAGATGGATGAATAGAAAGTTTTTGATTGAAGGGAGGCATGATATATAAGAACTTAGAGTTCCAACCTTGACTGATTGAAGATGCAGACCAGCTCACAATATTTCCAAGAGTTCTATGTCAACTCACCATCAGAATTTCTGAGTTTCCAATGTCTCTTAGAGTCTTAGGTCAACAGAATCAACAACAATTTTAATCTCTCCAATTTGATCGATAAGATATTTCAAGTGCAACTCATCAAAACTATATAATTCCTTTGTTCGATCAACAGGTTTTGATATGTCATCCTTTGTACCCATACAGATGCAATCATGACTCGGCTCAGTTTTCAACTTGGATTTTACTCACCGATCTAGAAGATCGGACTTTGCTACTAAGGTTTAAGAGTTGCATCTCGTAAACTTTCCTGGTAGTATCGGTTATAGGTCTAGGTTGAGTGTCATATTCTCTTATGATAAATACTCGAAACTAAAGAGAGTGAATGTGATCGGGCTAATTCAAAACTTATTTATCGAGGTAAATTATATTTCTTCAAAGAACAGACTAATTCATAACCACACGACACCCCAAAGAAATATTTGCTTACCATGCCACAGCTTTTAACCAATGTCCCCAGTATCATCAGGAACAATCTCGATCAAAACCACCCTGTTAAACATGAACGGAGGTTTGGAGATGGGTGCTACTTTTCAGAGTATCCAGAGTTCATTTTGATTGAAGGGAGGCATGATATATAAGAACTTAGAGTTCCAACCTTGACCGATTAAAGATGCAGACCAGCACACAATATTTCCAAGAGTTCTTTGTCAACTCACCATCAGAATTTCTGAATGAGCTTCACTCTGAGCTTTCATACTATCAAAGAACCAAAGTTATAACTATGTTTGACATTTACCGTATTCGAAAAAGAGTACTCCCTATGTTTGATATTTTGATATCAGCTCAGAGTAAGAGTTATGAAGATATCATCAATATCCATGAAAATATAGTTTTGCAAGCAATACGAGAAGAGCTGAACTTATCAGATGTTACTCAGATGGCAAATGAAAACAAGTACATGTTACGCAATTGTTTTAAGGTCTTCATGAATTCAATGCCCAGTGACTCGCCTATATAAATCGAGTTGGAATGTAGAGAGCTCATTTCTTGATACAGAACTTTGGTTACGTTTCAAACATGGCACTCTTCAACAACTATGGATTGATTTGTGAAATTAATCCAAATACAAAAGGATACACTCGCTTGACGATCTCAACGAATATACCATTCAAGACAAGATTGATTAAGTTCAATGTTTGGGATACCGTACAGTTAAAGAAACCTGGAAGTACTAGATCCAGTACCGCGATTCCCTTCAAAGTGGGAGAAGAAGTACAAGTGGAATATTCCTACAAGGATGGGTATCCTATACTCGTTAACATGGTTTCATCTCACGTTGACAATTGTCCAATATGCTTTAACTCACTGGAGGGTATTGATACTCAAAGAATGGAGATTGGATGCGATGGATGTCGATTGATACCTGAGGAAGAACACAAGAAAAGAGTGAATACTCAAATGCAGATCGTTTCTAAAACGCTAAAGCAGTATTCAAACAGTGCAGGGTTCAAACTAGAGCTTTTCAGTGAAGTAGATAACAAAGCCTTTGCTCCGGTTATTTTCCCAAATAACTTTGCATACCAGAAACTTGAAAATATGAAAATTGGACACAAATACTGGGTCGTCGGATGGATTGCTCCAAACGGAAAGTTTCTCGATGTAGTTGATATCAATTAGTTGTAATTTTATTGGTTTTATTTTATGTCTTTATGAACTTGTTTTCATTTGTACAAATAAAACAAATTTATTCAAATTATTGAAGAAACAAAATTAAAAGCTACAGAATCATTTTTTTCAAAATCTTGTGAGTAGTCGTTTAAAAAATCTTTATAATCTAACCCTAAACTTAACACATAGATAAAATGAATGCAAAAGTAACCACATGCTTTGCTATTCCAGCCTTGAACTCTATAGTTTGTGTATCTAACAAACTTAAACTTTTTTACAATATCCTTATAATATTTAGGTAGAGTTTTGTGGTCTGGCGATCGTCCAAATGAATCAAAGAAGCATATTGTATCATCTTTTGCAGCCCAAGCACACCAATGTTCTCCATTTTCATCATGCTCCTCAGTGTTTGAAATGAAAGCATAATATGGTTTGGTAGATGTAGGTGAGAAACAAGAAGGGTAAGTACCAATATAGTTTTTGCTAGTAACGCTTGTGTTGAAAAGAATATCGTCAAGTTGCGTTGTGGTAAGAGGTTCAAGCATTATTCAATGATGCGTACAATACGATCGGAATCTATTTGAATTTGTCTGTCAAAGACAGCATAAACAATTAGTATGAGATCTTCTGGAAAAGTCTCTGTTCCGAGATCTATTTCAATGCTGGTACTTGCTTTCTCTTGAAGATTCAGATGACGATCATTTATACTAGATCTATCAGCACCGAAGCTTATTGCAGTCATGAAATTCAAATGAAAGTTGTTCTCATTTATAAGACATGATCCTTGGGTATCCTTACCCAAGGTGCGGTAAAGTTGTCGTAGATACTCACCAAATTCTTTGAATTGGAAGTTATTCTCACCAATTTTTCTGATACTACCAACTTCTAAAGGATCAGCAAAGACTGGAACACCATCACGGTAAAGTTGAAATTTTTTGTAAGGTATCATAATAAAAGGATTTGAGGGCATATGTCCATCAAAGTCACGACTCCTCTGCAACATAAAGAATGCATATGGAGGAAGAATAGAGTTTGCAAAAATATCATTTATTCTAACTATCCTCGATGATTGCGTTACCGGACGTACTATGATTTCAGGTCTAGAAATGAAATATGGAATAGGATCTTTTTTAAGTCTCTCCTCAATCATTTCTAAAATTTCATCCCTTACTCGATAGTAAGTAATGTTAAGAAAACAATCTTCAATAACCAAACTATATCCAGTATCTGCTTTGCACAAAAGCAAGAAATCGTCAGTATTTTTAGTTAGACTCATTCTCAAATTCATATTTGTAGGTAAACATTTTGTAGTGTTTAACAATGGACAGTGAAATTTGGTGTTTAGAGTAACATTTTTTCCTCTATTGAAAAGAGTACTTCTTTTACTGGCAGCTGGATTTGTTTGAGTTGGAACCCAATTATCCACTTGTGACATTTGATTCTGATACTCTATTTCAAGATCATCACCATCTAGATCTGAATTTCCATTCTTAATAACCTCTAACATTTCGCTCCTATAATCGATATCCATTGGTATTTCCATATCAAACGCATAATCCCTTTTTGCAGCAATCCCCTCTTTAAGAGACTCAAATCCTGGAACAGATTCAAGATCATCCCATAAAGTTATATTTCTATCAATTTCATCCCACCTCCAAAATGTTCTTAGATTTTCCTCAGATGTTTTTGTTACACCTTCATCCATCAGGAATCCTTCGTTGTAGAACAAATACCCATCACGGTTTTGATCCGAGCTTAGAGTCTGATTCAAGAAACTCTGGTAAGCATAAGCATTCCGCATACTTTGACATAACTCAATGCGATTTCCTGTTACAACTGAAACTTCACCCCATAGACTGTTTGCAATATTGTTAACTACAGAAACATCTTTTGCTCGTGTGCTGATATCTCGACCATTTTGCATTAGCTTCACCTTGGTAACTATGTGTAAATCCGTTAAAAGTCCTTTCGGTTGTGGTGGTATGTTGAAATTTATGGGTCCCTCGTTGAATAAATTTGTTACAGGCCACACTTTCAAATCGTAAGTCTCTTGAATCGAAACTTGTGTAGGTGTGTCATTCCATAGAAGGAGAGAAGATGACATTGAATCACTAGAGTTTACAAATTTCGCCATTTTCTTTTACGTTTGGAGTGATGTTTATGTGTCACTTGAGTATTAGCTAAACGTTTTAACTTTTTTTCTCCCTGTTTTGCCCCAGAAGTATTAGCTAAACGTTTTAACTTTTTTGCTCCCTGTTTTGCTCCAGCAGTAAGTAGTTCTTTACCAGCAGCGATTGCAATTGGTTTTGCTGATTTAGCTACTGCTTTTATAGCCTGTCCAGCGAGTGGTAACGCTTTCTTTAGTAAGGAACCAAGAAAACTTCCCAACCCTTCTCCCTGCATACCGTAAATATATCGGTCCATATCTGAAGACCCACCTTGCTGTACAAACACAGCATGGTATGGTCTACTTTTCAGATAGCTAGAGTTAAATTCCTCCATTTTAATTTTCTCTTCTCTCAATTGCTTTCCTTATATAGTGTAGAAGGACGTACACTCAGAGTTAGAATTGTCTTGAAACTAGGATTGAAATTCAAGAATTTACCATTAATATCTCTTATCTCGATCAAGATGTTTGAGAATTCCTTTACATTTATCGAAACAAAATATGGATGAGCTTGATGAAAAAAATTCCATCCTGGATTTGTTTTTATAGGAATCACAGAAGAAATTCTAGATAATTTTCCATTAATGTAAGAGTTTTCGATAATGTTAATGTAGATAAATGCAGGTAGTGATTCCCCTTCAAACGAGGTATTCTGAAGAGTGTATGTGCTATACAAATCAGTTTCAACACCTACAAGCCCCCATGGTGAATCTTTTCTGTTCGTTATAATAAGATTATCCAAACTTAACTGTACAATTTGTCTGTGCTTATCAAGTGATACAGTGAAAGGTTTGTATTTCTTTGGTTTTATTACACTAGATATCTCTTCTTCTATTGCAAGACATATAGCATGAATTGAATGGTAAAACCCTGGTGGTATTGTAACTGTCTTCAATTCAATATCAAGTTCACCATATGTTATCAGTGTGTGCACTTCCATGGGTGTAAACATATTCGTCACGTTAACTGTATTGTAAAAGTGAATCTTGTTGTTATCATCACTAATATTGAACACTTGACCATGAAAAATCGATGTAACTGCAATTTCGGCTTCTTTTTTTATTTTAACGGGGTTAACCCGAGTTACAAATTTCGATTGATTGCCTTCATAACCACCAACAACAATGATATTGTGAATGTTATCCATTTTGCTAAAGCAATTGAAACTCCTCCTTTTATAGTTAAAATGTTATTCCAAAATCTCTAAGATGACAGAAAATAGGTTCGTAATGTGTTTTAAAATCACCATTACAACAATCATTGACAAAATCATCATATTTGATATTAATCGGTTTATATCTAATCAAAATCAGTCCATCTTTGGATCGTTGTACATCTGCTTTTGAAAGTTTAATTAATAGCTCATTATAGTTAAAATCCGGGAAGATTCCTTTTGGTAGTTCAATAGTTTTGATTTGTTCCGAGATCCCCTCTGATGGTAAAAGCATATGCATATCTTTACAGTGAGAGGGTGATATAATATATCGAGACATGTTAGAAAATTGATTGTAGTATTCCTCCAAGTATTGGTAAAACTGTGCTTAATATAGTAGCTAATGCTCCGCCACGTTGTGCAACTAGTTTCTGTTTCATACCCGCTCCTTTTAAACCACTTGTCGATCGAATTAAACGTCTATGCTTCTTCAAAGTTTGATGTTGTTTGTTATCTAGATCCAGTTTTTTATTTGCTAAAAGATTGAACACGATTCCAAGAACTTTGAAAAGTTCTGGAGGTGAATTTTTCAAGATGATTTTACGGTTTTTCATATTACTAGCAGCTAACTTCTCCAGTATGTATCGATGTTTATTCAACATATCTGCCTGCTTTAGAGATAAATGCTTGGTAACCATTCCCAAAAATCTGTTATTACAGTTAGCTCCTGTGGTAGACTTGGTGCAAGACTAAGTAGAATGAACCCTCTCTCCTGTTTTGATGTTCTTTTAAAGGCGTTAGTGACACGCTTCAAATCATCACCACAAAACATTTGTCTTGCCAATGTGTTAATTTGTCTAAAATGACGTTGACTATTAAAGAGAACAAAATAGTGACTGTTAGAACTCATGAGTCTAAACAAGGGACATTTTGGGAATAGGTTTTGTGTTATGTAGAATGTAGATATTGATTTGTGATGTGACCCTAAAATGAAACATTCTGCCATTTCCTTGTTATCACTAAGAATTAAATCATCAACAACCAACATACTAGGTTCAGAAGTATCTATTTTATCAAAATTAAGTCCTTTGATAAATGTTATCGGCACATTTTCTTCATCATTCCAAGTTTTCATAAAACTCTGCTCTATTTTGTACATGTAAAAGATCCGTTTAGGCCAGGGGTGTACTAGTTTTTGTCTGATAACTTCCAATATGAATTGAGTCTTTCCAGCTCTTGTTGGTCCAAATATTATACAGTTGTGGGAGGCTAGAAACTTAATCGGCATCACAAACTGAAGAGATCGAATTGAGGTACCCAAGTGTTTGCTTCGTCTGGATAACCTTGCCACTTGACAAGATATTCGGTCTGACCTCGTCTCGTACGCTTATCTAAAACTTTTTCAATTTGATAAATGCTGTTAGATTTATCCACCAATTGTATTTCACTAGTGTAAAATGAACCC